GTACGGCTTCACTCGGGTCATGAGCAGTTATTTCTTCGAGGACTCGAGCGAGGGCCCCCCGCACGACGATAACTACAAGTGAGGAGGGCGGTGGGGGGGCGGGGGGGCGGGGGGGGCGGGGTTCGGTTCGATCGGATCGCTCTCGAATTACATTTTTTTAAGTGGGAATATTTTTTTGTCGACGGGGGCGATGGGATCGGTCGATGTCGGTCGCGATTGGGAGCGAAAGAGATTTGAGAAATGTGTCTTTTCTTTTTTTCATGAAGCACCTTGGACGTGATAATCAACCCGGATGGGACCTGTGGGAACGGGTGGGTGTGCGAGCACCGATGGGGGCCCATCGCCCATATGGTACACGGATTGTTTGGGGGGCCGGTCGAGTCCGGTTGCAATTTTCATGCGACGGTTTCGTTTCAGGTGGAGTTCAGGAATGCGGTGGCGGGGACGGAGATGGGGAATTTCTTCTTGGAAGGGGATCGGGTGGCTTTCTCTCGGGGCGACAAGGGATTCTTCGCGATGGTGAAGTCGGGCTCCATGGAGGGGAGCTTCCAGACCGGTAGGAGGATGAGAATTGCCGGGGATGAGGATCGACGATGATGAGAATTTCTTTGCACTGATGATAGGGATGCCGGGGGGTTCGTACTGCAACATCATCGACGGGTGCGCGACGCAGGTGACGGTGAACGGGGACGGGACGGCCCAGATCCGGATCACCAACGCCGAGGAGCCGATCCTGGCCATCTGCGTCGGGTGCACGGGAGACAGGCCCACCCCTGACCCAAGTCTGTCTCCTTTTTTTTGCCTCTTCGATCCTTCGTGTTGCTTGGGGCCTTCCGTAGCTTTTTGTCCTTCGTCTCTGCCGAGTGCTGCCCTGTCATTTTTCATTCACGGAAGCAATGAGACCCTTGCTCACGAGAGGATTCCAGATCCTGCGGCTCTGGCAACGCAGAGGATGCAAGTCGTTTTACGTAGAGGATGCAAGTCGTTTTACGTAGAGGATGCAAGTCGTTTTACGCAGGTTTCACCGCATCATCGGAGATGTCAGTTCTTGCAAAACTCGTCTGCATGAAAATAGACCTTAATCGCGCCCTAGCTTGCACAAAACTCTACCAAAGTGCTTTCTCACACTTACCCAGTGGATGGCAAATTTCTAATAGTTTTTCGGTACGACAGGGATATATTCCGCCCTCGGTGGTCAATGTTCACGACGGCGAACGCTGAAGTCAGGTGAAATCGGATATCTGAATAGATGAATCGATGCAAATGAATTCAGGGATACAAAATTTGCAGAGGATGCAGTGTGTCATTTGAAGAAGGCTGCCGAAATCCATTCATTCAAAGCGAAGTGATGAGCCACATTCTGCCAAGTCTAGCATTTAAAGTTCCCTTTAAAAAAAAAAAAAAAGAAACCGATGGCTGTTAAGAATGAACTTCGGGAAAGATTCCCTGGATCGAGCAAAATTGTCGATGGCATTGCTTCTTCAGCTCGACATTTTGGGAATCGGTTGAGAACATTCTCATGCACAATTGGCGACATTTTCGCAAAAATAATACCATTACGAGCCGAAGATCCTTCAAGGGCGCTGAAGGTTTGACTCGATGATGCGAACGTTCGGAGTTGGTTAGCAAAAAAATGTCACGTGTTAGCAATGTTAACAAAAAAATGTCACGTGTTAGCAATGTTAACAAAAAAAATGTCACGTGTTAGCAATGTTAACAAAAAAATGTCACGTGTTAGCAATGTTAACAAAAAAAATGTCACGTGTTAGCAATGTTAACAAAAAAATGTCACGTGTTAGCAATGTTAGCAAAAATGTGACTCTGCTCAACCAAAGGGCGGTAGAGGGGTTTTCGCTCGGGGGGGAGGAGGAAGTAATGAAATATTATCGTTGGGGAACGGTGAGGTCTTCTAGCCCATTATTTTAAAAGAATTGTTTAGAACGATCATGGAAGGTGATACAGTTCTCATTTGACGGAGTGTCTAACCATGCCCCTTTCACAAAGAGAGAGAGAGATTGGAAAGTCAACTTCAGCGACTCTCTTACCGATCCAAAAGGAGATGAGAAGAATGGAAGCGATCACGTTCTCGGGTTTTGCAAGAACATAGTTTTTTTGGGGGGGGGGCGCTTGGCCTGCTGCATAGACTTGGATTTTCGCCTGGCCTCATGCTCTGTGGCTTTCGTCTCGCCTTTTCCTGACGAACGCCGACATTATTCGTTGCACCCCGTGCCGTGTCGCCTCCAGCTGCCACGACGATGTCGACGCAGCCGACCACCCCGGGCCCCACCGAGCCTCCAATCACGGACGGCATCCACCGCACGGTCGTCTT